TAAAACTAAAAATAGGAGAATTCGATAACAATATAAGTTGCCTTTGGCTTTGAAATGCCTACTAACTTATATTCAACGGTTTATTTATAAAACGGGTCGAAATCTAAGACTTTATTGAAGGCGAAAAACAAGGTTTTAAATACTACTTTCTAGATACATGAAAAATACAAGTTTTTAGAAAGACGGTACTTAAATGCATTACATTAGTCCTTACAAGTACGTCTATTATACCATTTTTTCCTACCATATTAATCAGCTTCATTGACAGATACGCCCTTCCCCAATGACACTATTGACACGACTCCTTCTGATTGCCTACTATTCATCTATCACGCAATATCTTAAAACCGCGTCATGCTTTAATCTCATCTAAGTCCTCCTTGAGTTACCTTCAATGTAATTATTAACAACTATGGAAATTAATACATGTAAGTAATATACGAATAAGGATAATGATAAATATATAGATTCTAACAATAATTTAACTAATATGGAAATTGATAGATATGTAATACGGGGATAATGATATACAAATTAAGAAACAAAAGGGATATGCCGAATTTGGCAAGGGAATAAAGACAATAACGGTTAATCGGCCAAAACCGTCAGTGTAGTGGGATCATGTTCGCAACCATCAAAAAAATAACATAGTAACACCGTGACCATATACAAATACTACACCATCATTATTAATAAATAAAAGTTTACAGGAATCACATAATTCGGGGTGTGGAGGGTATGATGTACTGTATGCCGTCGGTAAATGTCTCAAGTCTACTTCTTCATTTAAGGTTTCTAGTTTATATGTTTGAGGTGTTTTTTTTTCTTGGTGGTGGTCCCGGTAATGGTGCTCTTGGTGCCACTCTTGGTGCTGCTTTTGGTGGTGCCACTCTTGATGGTGGTGCTTTTGGTGCCGCTCTTGGTGGTGGTGCTCTTGGTGCCACTCTTGGTGGTAGTGCTCTTGGTGCCACTCTTGGTGGTAGTGCTTTTGGTGCTGCTTTTGGTGGTGGTGCTCTTAGTGCTGCTTTTGGTGGTGATGCTTTTGGTACTGCTTTTGGTGGTGGTGCTCTTGGTGCCGCTTTTGGTGCTGCTTTTGGTGGTGGTATTCTTGGTGCCATTCTTGGTGATGGTGGTGCCACTTATAGCGGTGGTGTCACCCTTGGTGGTAGTGCTCCCAATAGTGGTGCTCTCAGTGGTAGTGTTTTTTATAGCATTACTTTTTCCACAATTGTAATAGATGTTTTGAAAATACTGCAATAAAAAAAGACCAGCCTTATCAGATAAAAAATCTAGTGTTTTAGCATTATATAGATAGTGTCGAGTTTTACAGTATGTATTTTTAAAAGTAAGATCGTGATTCATTACAACATAGGCTTGTTTTATGATATTATCAGCCGTTGCATTCGGAGATGTGTTTGCTCTAATTCTGCTATGCGTATTTTCCACATAATACTCATTGAAACTTGGCAAGTGTTCTTGCAATACTTTCAAAAAAGGATGACCCGTATCCATCCAATAAAATAAATCCGAAAGAAATATAAGAGGTGCTTTATTGTAGTTTTTCCTCTTCCAGCACAAAAAGAATGTCCAAATATGAAAAATGGACTCTACATATTCCTCAAAGTGGCCTGAGCAAAACAAAATTGCATACACATCAAGGGTAGCAGGAATTAAATTGTCGAGCAAGTCAATGGTGTTCGATATTCAATATCCTTGCAAATTTTGCCAAATTTTTTCATTACATCATTTCTAATTTTAAGCCAACTGCTTCTCGAAAGTTCTAGTAGAAGATTTATTCTCCAGGGCCGGGGTTTTTTTGCGAATTTTTTGTCTTTACCGAATACAAAATAAAATAACTTCTTAAAAAAAGAATGGTGAACTAACATAACATGCTCTCTGCTGTTTAATGATAGATGGAGGGGGCCCATTATTGGCAAAAATGACTCAAGTTTTTGTGGAAATTCATATTGTAAACCCAGAATCATTCGCATATGTAATGCCTTTCGAATAAATATCTGTCCAGGCCAGTCAACGACAACTGGTGCGACTTTCTCATCTAAATGGTTTGTTTTATTATTTAATAATAAGAGAACTTTCAAAATATTAATATAATCATGCACTGAGTGCAAACTTTGTTCTTTAAACTTGACTAATTTAAGTCCTTTCATTGATCTTTCCTCTCTTCGTTTAACCAAATTATCCGCATAACTATGTACCATTAAAGCTTCAATTTGGTCGAATTCTTCAAGAGCTAAACGGCCTTGTAAAATTCGATAGTCAGAATATGATGTGTCGAACATTCCCTTATATTTATGAAGTAAATACCAGCAAACTCTATGTGTTTCAACATTTGCTGGATTATGAATTGGTATATTATTAAAATTAAGCGGCA